CTTCCTTCCTTCCTTCCTTCCTTCCTTCCTTCCTTCCTTCCTTCCTTCCTTCCTTCCTTCCTCCCTCCCTCCCTCCCTCCCTCCCTCCCTTCCTTCCTTCCCTCCCTGCTTCCCTTTCCTCCCTTCCCTTCCCAGTTTGTCCTCCCTCCCTCCCTCCCTCTCACATTTACTTTAGAATTCTTGTTGGCTTCTCCACTGACTTAAAAATAAAAAAATAGGCACCCTGCGAGTCATGGCAAAGGTGAGGCCAGATGTTCAGACATATGTGAAATGTGCCATGAGGGTGAGGGTTTGTGGCGGTGCACTGCAGGTTGGAAGGATGCCTGGAGCTGTGCAATCAAAGAAGGCGCATGGGAGTATGACATGAGTTGGGAAGGTACAAGAAGTACCACATGGGTGATGAGGGCATGCAGGGATGTGGCATGGGTTGGAAAAGGTATATGGGGATATTCAAATAGCCAATTTGGTGCAAATGCAGGTAGGGGAGACTTACCTGAGCAACTCGTTACCTTCTGTACCAGCTTCGCCATGGTCAGCGTTGTCTATTGTTGAGCAAAGCCAGTAGGGAGTGTGAACAATCATGATCAAGCTTGCATTTTCTGCCAGCTTCCTCAATGGCATGTGGGGACTGGCAGGGAGCATTGGAAATGAGAATCAGCTGACCATGGCTGACTGCAGCACTGAAGAAGCCACAAAATTGCCAAATTTCAATCCCATGGGATCATGAGTCCGGATTTTGGATGCATTCTATAAGTTAGCCCATCTAAGATATATCAATTCATAAATGTTGTTCTATGAGGCACCGTTTCACTCAATTGAAGGTTACAAACAGACAGTAAAGTCTTAGTAGTATATAGATGGTTGGGGCCTTCTGCTAGAAACTGGGAGATGGAGCAAATTCTAGCCCTGCATTAGGCCCAAAGCCAGCTGAGTGACCTTGGCCAATCATTGTGTCAGTCCTAGGAAAAAGGACATGGCAAACCACTTCTAAAAAAGCTTGCCAAGAAAACTGCAAAGACCAGCACAGGAGTCAACAATGATTTAAAGGCAACAAATCTTTTTTTTTTAAAAAAAGGACAAGTTTAAAGTCTGATAGCAAGTAAAATATTGTCTTTAGGAGAGAGGTGCCAGTGAGGAAATGTTTTACTAGACTGGAAGCAAATATTTTGCTCTTAGGTAAATCTCACAATACTCCTTAGACTGAATGCAGGGCCAAATGCCTACAGGCTTAAAGTCAACACCACACATGGCCTGATTCCAAATTTTTTACTACTGGTTCTGTGGGCATGGCTTGGTGGGCGTGGCAGCGGAAGGGTACTATAAAATCTCCAGTCAAAGGTGGTATTTGCCGATTCTCCAAACTACCAAAATTTCCACTCCCAGTTCTCCAGAACTGGTCAGAACCTGCTGAATACCACCTCTGATCATCATCCAGCAAGGCTCAACCAAGCCTGGGACTCAGGACAGCCTACAGAGTTGCCCCTGCATGGACTCATGGGAGTCTGACAACCAATCAGAATACAAGCTCAAATTCAAATCCCAAACAGTATAAAACCCAGGCACTCTCAGCATATCAGCTCTTTTCCTTCTTTCTTCACCCAAGGCATGTGATCCTGTCCACCATTAAACCATCTTTCCAAGCAGTCACCATGTTTCCAGTGTCTTTCTTCCCCACTTGGAACTGAACCCAGAAGAATAATTCTTCCAACAGTTGAAGGAGGCAAGACCTCAGCATGATATTACCATTTTTTTCCTGTATATAAACAGGGAAAACAAATCTGGCATAACAGCAGCTGATCAATTTTTATAAAATGCAATAGCTTGATCATACCCTTTCTCAAATAATGCATATGTTCTTTATTTTTTTCAAGTGAAGAGATGATATAAGCCGTGATGGCGAATCTATGGCACACGTGAGCAATCTATGGCAGAGCCATCTCTCTGGGCACACCAGCTGTTGCCCATTGCTCTCTGGGTTCTGGTGTGCCAGCTGGTCTTCGCACACATGGGAGCGCTAGAAACTGGAAGAGCAGCTCCCCAGTGTGCATGCATGCCGGGCAGCTGGTCTTCGCACATGTATGCATGCCAGAAACAGGAAGACCAGGTGGTCAGGTGCACATGCGTGCTGGGGAGCTGCTCTTCCAGTTATCAGCGCTGCCATGCATGTGCCACGGAGCTGTTCTTCTGGTTTCTGGCACTCCTCCCGTGCGCATGCGCACTTCCATTTCGGTGCTCAGTGCCAAAAAGGTTTGCCAACACTGATGTAAGTCAAGAAGACTCGATGACCTTCATTAAGTCAGTTCTCAGAATTACAAATGTTCAGCTATCGTGGCTGGTAATTCTGAAGGCTGACATGGGTTGAATAGAACTTTATGCAACCAGGTTAATGGAGGCTTCTTTCTGTTATTTCCACAAATTCAGTTAAACATCCAAAGCACTACAGCCACACAGCTTGGTTGGGGCAAACTAAATGAATATGATTCAGTTAAGTAAGATTTAGAATGTAAATGAAGCTGTAAAAATGAGTGGAAGTGTTACACATAATAACAACAATAATAATAATAATATAAAAAGGAAGAACTTTGTTGAAAGCTTTTTTCAATCAGCTATGTTTTTCCAAACTTTTAAAAGGATTTTGATTTTGGAAAACATGGTCCTCCTTGGCAGTTCATTCTTTGCCTAAATACATTCTTCAAACTGATCCATGGCCATGGTGTAATTTAACCATGGTTTATTGAATGAGCCAAATGCTATGATTTGTAAAGTTATATTTGTGCATGAGATATGCCAAAGCCAAGCTAAGGCCTTGGCTCAGATCGTAAGATTTAGAGCAGTGAATGAACATATTCTTTCCGCACCATTTTAACAGCTGGGGTGGGGCAAACTAAATGAATGTGACTCAGTTAAGCAAGATTTAGAATGTAAATGAAGGTAACTTTCTAATAAATTGCACATTTGTATTCAAAGGTTCAGTAACAAGCTTGTAAGTAAGGAGAGGTGATGATACTGCTTATCTTCCACTTCATATCCTGAAAGAGCAAAGCAATCTGGCATGTATAAGCATATTAAATTCATCATAAACCCAATCTATGTTGTGATAAGCTTTCTCTTATATGTACCTTCAAGTTCAAATCAGAAGCAGTGGGGCTGGAGTACTTAAAATATATTATAACTTGGGAATGAACTCTCATGATCTCACTCGAGATCTCGAGATTTACTTCTACATCAACATGTTCAGGAACAAAGTAAAGAAATAAATACAGAAGAGAAAATGATAGAGGGAAACATCTATAACAAGAAAGCCAGGATTTTGTCCTTTAAAGATAAAAACAACTAAAAATAAAACAACTGCCTTATTCAACTCCACAGCATTGTGAAAATAAGAAATCCTAATCTGTTGGATCCATCCATGATTTCCTTACATATGATAGAACAAATTATTAATTCCCACAAACAGCTAGAAATGAGCATTGTCCTGACCTAGGACTTCGAGGTGAGGAAAAAAATGGTGAACTAGATATCCTTGAAAGAGAAGAATTGATGCGGAGGTGAGAACCTATGGATTGATGGTAAGCTTGACCAGAGGAACCTCTCCAAAAAAGGAGAGGACAAGAGATTGTCCATTTGCACTCCAGATGATTGTTCCTTGTAAAGAGATTGCAGGACAGTGGTCATCCAGTGAGCCTGAGCAACAGGTGTCAAGGGAATCTATCAAGCTATCAGCTGTGGCAGAGCCTCTAAGAACACTGGGTTCAACCATCTCATTTTCTAATCCCTTTTAATTTACAATTATTTTACAGTTAAAAGAATCAGTTTGATCTAGTGGTTAAGATGCCTAGGCTAGAAATGGGGGACCGTAAATTATAAAGTTATTAAAAGATTGAGGGACTAGACAAATTTGGAATAGACTTAGACTTAGAATAATTTTACTGTCACTTTGAATGTACGCAAAACAACATACATTAAAATGAAATTTTCTTGCATACAGATCTCAAAGGGTCACCACCTCCGGTATATACTACATAAACATGACAAAGTATTTGTAGAGTCAAGGTGTTGTAGGATGTAGTGCAGAACCATATTAACAGCATCATCTGTCAATCTATTTGCTCAGTTTGCAAACTGCATGGGATCTAACAGAGGATCCGTGATGGTTTTCAGGTGGGACAGCACAAGCCTTTCAAAGATTTTCATAACTACAGATGTTAGAGTAACTGGTCTGTAGTCATTCAGTTCCCTGATGAAGGGCTTCTTTGGCACTGGGATGATTGTAGAGAGTGTTTGAAGCAAGAAGGAACATAGCACATCTCTTGTGATTTATTGAAGATTTGGGTGGAGATGAGGGCCAATTGGTCAGCACAGACTTTTAATCAAGAAGGAGTTATCTTATCTGGCCCTGGTGCTTTTCGTGTCTTTTGTCTGTGAAATAGATCTTGCACTTCTTTTTCTATGATCACCAGAGGTTGTGAACCCAATACACATATATCTATAGATACATACATACATACATACATACATACATACATACATACAAAATTATGCATATACCCACATATATTATATCCACATATATTAGGATTTTTTCTAAGATCTTTGAAAAATTGATAAAACAAAACAATAGTTCCATGTGTCAGCCTTATCAGGTAGATCAAACACAAAACATGGCCATATAAACTAATTCCTCTTTATTCTACTTTGTCGAAAGCTACATGAACAAAACCTTGTGAATCTGAAAGTACCATTCTTCTGCTGTCACCTTTATACTCTGATAACATGGGGAAAGTACCTTCTGAGCTTCTTGACTCTGTTCACTAAGAGGGCTATGCTCTAACTTAACTGACTGTTCTTTAGACAGTGTTTGTTTGCCCTGTTTCCCAAGGTCATTTCAACATACCATTACACTGTGAAACATAAATTGCTTAGTCTATCAGGAGAAATATCATTGGCTAAAAACTTAAAGCAAAGCAAAAAAGCAACCTGAGACTTCATGAACACAGTAATGAGTTGCTAAAGGAGTATAGAGTTCCAGGCAAAGAAAAGTGAAATTTACAAAATGACAAATAGAGGCATGAAATGTTGTAAAAAAACAACAACACCATCATCCAGAAATGAACAGTGTTGCGTTGTGGGAAAAGAGACTCGAGACACAGTTGACTTTTTCCCTTTTTATTTTCTTTCTAGTAATTGCATGCAGAGAAATCGTGGCAGCCTTTTTTATAGCCAGCTGCTTGCGGCTCGTGGCCAATGATGGAGGCTCTTCAAATCTCTTGCCGCCATGGACCAACCTATCATAGGTAAGTATGCAAATATATAACACCCCTCCCCATGTGGTCCACTCTAACCAATCCGGGCCTCACCTATCATACGTAGTCACGTAGGTAGGCGGGGCTCTTATGGTTCTGACTGGACCTGCGCAATTCAGTCGTGAGTTCACCTCTGGACTGTTCGGACAGGGTTGCTGTTTTTCCCGTTCTTTTCCGTGGAGCCTCCTGGAAGGTGGAGTCAGTCATGCCACTCCCACCAGGCCTTTCCTGGCTGGTTGAGTCAACTCGGCTGCTCCCACCAGGAGTGGCTTCCTGATGATTCTTCAAAGTCTTCTCCAGCGTCCCCAAGTTGTTTTTTTCTTCTATAGTTTCAGATACATGTTTGCGATTTCCGATTGGGACTAATGTTAGTATTGGTTGTTGTGTCATTGTTAGGGTTTGTTTTGTCACTTCTTTTACTTGTGGAGGGTCTCCCCCTCCCCTTTTGTTTGTGTTTGAGGGGTCTCCCCCCTCTCTGGTTTGGCTATTTTTGTTTAATGTTTGTGGCAATTCCTTTATTTGTGTAGGTTCTCCCCACTCCTCATCTTGTTGTTAGTGTTTCTCAGTGTGGTCCTCGATCTGATTTGGTCTATGTGTCTCCTCCAGCTCTTTCCATCCTCTGTGTCTACCCTGTATAACTGGGGTCCTGTTATTTGGGTTATTGTTGCCAGTTTCCACAATGGCTCCCCCATGAGGTTTTTTGCATAGACCAGGTCCCCTGTTTTGAATGTGCGGTACTTACTGGAGGAGTCTGCTGGCTTTTCTGGGCTATACGTGGGGTGTAGCCTGTCTAGGTTTGATCTTAGTTTCCTTCCCATTAATAATTCTGCTGGGCTTTTATTTGTTGTGGTGTTTGGTGTAATGTGTTGTATACTTAGTAGTTTGTCTATTTTTTCCTGTATATCCCCTGATCCCAATTTGTGTAGTGCTTCCTTAGTGTAACAGATCATGCGTTCCGCCCATCCGTTCGTAGCCGGACGTCCCGGCACTGTTAGTGCATGCCTTATCCCTTGTTCTGCCAGGAACCTTTCAAATGTTATTGCCATGAATTGTGGTCTGTTGTTGGATATAACTAAATCCGGCAATCCATGTGTCATAAAAAGTTTTCTTAGTTGTCTAAAAACAGCTTCTGTTGTGGTTGAGTGCATGATGTTTACCTCCAGCCAATCTGAGTAAGCATCTACCACTATTAAGAATGTGTGTCCTTTAGTTGGTCCTGCAAAATCAATGTGTATTCTAGACCATGGTCTCCTAGGTGTTTCCCATTCGTGTATAGGTGCAGAATGGGGTGTAGGTCTAGATTCCTGGCATTGTTTGCAAGTTGCTACCCATTCTCCTATGTCTTTATCCATCCCTGTCCACCATACATAACTCCTAGCCAGGGACTTCATTCTGACAATACCCGGGTGACCCTCATGCAATAATTCAAGTATTCATTTCCTTAATATGTTCGGTGTGACCACCCTATCCCCCCATAGTATACATGCCTTTAAGATTGATAGTTCCATTTGTCTATTCCAAAATGGTTTAACAGTCTCGTCACTTGCAGTCTCTGGCCACCCGTTACCTACCCAATTTAAAATCTGTGCCAGGTTTCTGTCTCTTGCAGTTTCCATAGCAATGTCTGTTGCTGTTATGGGTAGGTTTGCCAACATCTCGATTTGAAGGGTTGATGTGGTTGGTGCAGGATCATCGTCTAAATCAGGTAGGGGGGGAATGGCTCAGGGTGTCAGCATGTGTTATGTTCTTTCCTGGTCGGTAGATCAAGTTGTAGTTATAGGCAGCTAGGAATTCAGACCACCTCGTCATCTGCGGTGACAGTATGTTAGGTGTAGCTTTGTTTCCTGCAAGGATTCCTAGGAGAGGTTTATGGTCTGTGACAAGTGAAAAAGGTCTGCCATAGATATATTCGTGGAAACGTTTTATTCCTGTTATTGTAGCCAATGCCTCCCTATCTAGTTGGCTGTAATTCCGGTCTGGTTTAGATAGAGTTTTTGAATAGAATGCGATAGGTGCTTCTCTTCCATCGGGCAATACATGGCTAAGTATGGCACCTATGCCGAATGGTGATGCATCGCATGTTAATGGTATTGGAAGGGTCTCACTGTATTGTATTAGCACACAGTCTGATGTAAGTAAGTTTTTTATTTCCTGGAATGCTGTTTCTTTTCGTCGCCCCCAGGTCCAGGTAGCTTTCTTATCAAGCAACCTGTGTAGTGGTTCCACTATCGTTGCTTTCTGTGGTAAGAGTACATTGTAAAAATTAATAAGTCCCAAGAAGGTTTGCGAGTCTGTTTTATTTTGGGGTCTGGGAGCTTCCTTTATTGCTCTGATTTTGTTTTCAGTAGGGTGGATCCCTTCTTTGGCTAATTGGCACTTCTCTTTTTTTACTTTAAGTCCCGCCTCTTTAAATTTTTTAAAGACCTCTCTTAGGTGGTCTTTCAGTTGTTCTTTGTCCTTGGCTGATACTAATACATTGTCAAAGTATGGTACCACCCCCTTTATTCCTTGCAATAGGCGTTCCATTAAACTCTGGAATACCCCTGGGGCCACGCTAACTCCAAATTGCGGTCTGTTGCATTTGAATGCCCCCCTGTGTGTCACAATTGTTTATGCTTCTGCTGTTTCTGGGTCAACTGGTAATTGTTTGTAGGCTTGCACAAGGTCCAATTTCACAAAGATTTTACCTCCCCCTAAAGAATGTATTAGGTGCTGTACCACTGGAACTGGGTATGCACTTTGCTGTAGTGCGTGGTTAAGGGTTGCCTTGTAGTCCCCGCAGATATGTATTGACCCATCTGGTTTAATAGGGGTAACAATTGGGGTTTCCCACCTTGTGTGGTCTATTGGTTCTAATACCCTCTATGCAATAAGTTTATCTAATTGTTCATCAATTTTTGGTTTTAACGCGAAAGGAACTCACCTCGCCTTTAGTCTTATAGGGGCTATATTTGGATTTAAATTAAATGAGATAGGGGACCCTTGGTACTTGCCCAGTTCTCCATTGAAGACGTCCTGGAATTCTTTCATCAGGTTCTCTTCCCAGTCTGTCTCAGTAATGCTGTTTATTCCGGTTACTCCGATTCCTAATGGTGCAAACCATTTGCGTCCCAATAGGCTGGGTCGATCCCGGTCAACTATTGTTAATGGAAGGACTTTAGTGTGTTTTTTGAATTCAACTTTGAAATGTCCGGTGCCTACTACAGGAATTCTGTTTCCCTGGTAGTCCTTTAGTGTGAGTTTTTGTATTTCGAACTCTCCCTTGTTTCTATCAGGTATTAGTCTTTTTAGGGTATTCCACGGCACCATTGATAAATACGAGCCTGAGTCCACCTCCATCTCACATGGCTGGCCTTCTATGGTGACTTGCACATGTACCTTTTTTGCATTGATTGAGTTTGAGTGCCCAATGGTTATTGTTTGATGTGTTTCCTCTTTTTTGTTTGCTTCTTTCCATTGCTTGTTTCTGTTTTCTTGACTCCAATGGCTCCCTATTTGCTTTTCACTCCCTCTGGAGGGGGGTATTCCATCTTTGTTTAGGGCCATAGTTATTTCTAGTTCAGCATGCCCTTGTTATGTGTCCCCACCATTCACAATACCTGCAAATAACATCGAAGAAATGGCATTCAGAACGTGGATGGTTTCCTCCGCACCCAGCACAACGGAATTCTGACTTTCTTTCATTCTGCTCCCATCTACCTTTTTCTGACTGGAGTTGATTTACATCCTCTTCTTCCTCTTCGTCTTCTGATAGGGATTCAATGTCCTCGTGGTGTGTTGTGGTGGTGGGTTTTTTTCTTTTGTCTGGTGTCTTATTGCATGTTTGATTAGTGTGTTCTTGGGTTTCTTTTGGTAATTTATTCATTTGTCGCATGGTGGCTGCCAATTTCTGTGTGGCTTCCACTGCGGTGGCTTCTTCTATTGCCTCCTTCAGTGTTATCTTAGGTCTTGTTAGTAGTCGACCCTGTAGTGTAAGGTCCTTTAATCCAAGGACCACGTGGTCCCTCATGGTCTCATCCATGTTTAGAAATTTGCATGTTCCGTCAATGTCTCTTAGCACTGCAACAAAATCTCCGATGCTCTCATCTTACTTTTGGTCACGCCAATAAAATTCATGTCTTTTGATGAGGCATGAAACAGTTGGTGCATAGTGGGCTTGCAGTAATTTCTCCAGGTTCATCCACACCATCGTCTTTACATCGTTGGGTGCTGCCAATACCTTTGCCATTTTGAATACTGTGGGACTGCAGTGGGTGAGGAAGACGGCTCTCTTCCTATTTTCGGGTACACCTTGGAGATTGCTCCCTTCTAGAAACATGAGGAATTGGTCAATGTAGGATTCCCAGTCTTCAGTTGTTGGGTTGAATGGTGCGGATGGCAAGTTGTTCCCTACCATTTCATCTCGCTTGGTCCTCATTGCCACATGCACAACTGGGCTCCTTTGTCTCACGATCCCACCTTCGTTGCCAGTTTTGCGTTGTGGGAAAAGAGACTCGAGACCCAGTTGACTTTTTTCCTTTTTATTTTCTTTCTAGTAATCGCATGCGGAGAAACCTTGGCAGCCTTTTTTATAGCCGGCTGCTCGTGGCTCGTGGCCAATGACGGCCCTTCAAATCTCCCACCGCCACGGACCAATCTATCATAGGTAAGTATGCAAATATATAACAAACAGAAAGCTTTCTTCTTCTGTTACAGATTGTAACAGTCTCCTTTATTAGTTACAGTTTGTAAAAGTCCACCTTTGATTGCATTTTCCTTTTCAAAACATTTGTTTTAAAGTTAAACATTACTTTTTCTGACATTCTCTGCCATACATCTGTCTGCTTCTTTTTCCCATTCTTTTCTTTCTTTCCTGCTTTGTTGATCCAAATTGGTTGCTGTGGTTATACCATTTGCATCTCCCCCATCCTAGCCAGCATTAAGGTCGGTAAATTTTTCCTTGATGTATCACACTGCACAAACTTGCCATTTTGAAATATTCTCTCTCCACCTGACATTCTGCTTTTTTAAAAAAGAGACTAATATTTCTGAAAGGTCACTACTCTAGGATGACTCTCGGAAAATTTAATGCAACAGCAAAAGGAGTCTAGTTTAAAGAATGAAATCAAGATTCTGGCTTGCCTCTCTTCCCCAGAGGAAACCAGCTTCAGCAAAGAAATGGGAATCCATACTACAGCTTCATGGGGAGCAGATCAAATGGAGAGGATGTAGCTGCTAGTGGCTGATTGGAGAAACCGGCATTGAGCAGACATTTATTTTTACAAATTGCTTGAAGACATGGCCAAGTCAGAGCATTCATCTAGTCTGCCTTTTTCAATTGTTGATTTTCAGAAGTGTGTGACTTCAGCCATAATGCTCAGTGCTGGCTAGGAATAATGGGAAATGTGTCCCTTATATATGGAACACATTAGAGTGGAGAAGATGGCATTACAGCAGGATTATCTGCACTGCTCGAAGCCTTTTAGGATTCCAAATGCATACTTATCTGGAGATGCAGGAGCTCTTATAAACAGAACCTTTGCTTTATTGCTGGCCTTCCTCCTTACTACCCCTTTAATCAAAAAAAATGCAAGCATCTCCTGATCATCCCAACTGGTTCTGAGGATAACCATTACAATAATTTAAAAATAAGGACTATAGAATGTATAACACACACACACACACACACGGTGTGTATCTGACTCTGGAAGTAACAACATAGATATCTATTTCTGTTCTTATTGCCAACATTTCTTTCTTTTTAATTACTTTAATTACTCTTTCTTCCAATGAACTCAAGACAACAAATGTTTCACAACAAGCTTTCAAAATATGCCAGGTTAGAAAAGAGATGTCTAGTAACAAAAGATCTCATTTAATGAGTTTTATGTCTAAGAAAAACTATATGCTCATAATTGATCCATTATTATTGTATTGTATTGCATTATAATTATTATAGTATATTTCAATTGAGAAACTCAAATACTTTGGTCATCTAATGAGAAGGAAGGACTCACTGGAGAAGAGCCTAATGCTGGGAACAATTGAGGGCAAAAGAAGAAGGGGGTGTCAGAGAATGAGGACAGGAAGGCCTGGAGGAGCATTGTCCATGGGGTCACGAAGAGTCGGACACATCTTCACAACTAACCACAACAACATTTCAATAGAATCACTTTCATGTTATTCTCAATATTGCACTTTGCTTTAAAATTGTGTAATGGCTAATTTTATTATTAGACGGAGCATGGGTGAGAAATGTGAGACTATATAGACGTCACATTACTGAACTAAAGTTCCCCAGAAGCTCCAGTCAACATGGTCAATAAGGAGAGATTTTGGAAGAGTGTAGGGCTATCATATCTCAACTGCATAAATAGGAGAACCACCAGAACCTGAAATTTTCTATATTTTGATGCTTCTACTGGTGCTTGTCCCTATTTTTGCATGCCAGGTTTGATCGCCTTAAGAGTTGTCATTCAGAAGGCTACAGGTTGCCCAGTAAAGAGGATACTTTGGTTTGTGTGAGTGTGTGTGTGAGAGAGAGAGAGAGAAAGAGAGAAAGAAAGAGAGAGAGAGAGAGAGAGAGAGAGAGAGAGAGAGAGAAAGAAAGAGAGAGAAAATGAAAACAGTAGAGCACCTTTCAAATATTGGTATAATGAGCTTGGACAAAGAAGGGAAGAGATGTTGCCCGGGAAACAATCAGACAGGAGAGCAATTAGTTGTTTAATGATCAGACAAAGAAACTTAAAAAGTGTTAAATATTCATTGATCCCTCCTCAGTATGCATGGGTAATGCATGTGCGTAATATGTAGAGTGGAGTCTGATGTCAGACTACACTCATTGGTCCAGCCACTGGCGGGAATAATGAAGCTCCGTCAGTGGGTGAAATGTTGGACAGTGCTGGCTATAAAAGCCGGCACCGGCTGCGGCTTGCTGCTTTTTTCCTGCACTTTGAAATAAACTGTTTCTGCAACTCCTATGGTCCTGCCTCTTCCTTATTTCGCACGCCCATTGATCAAAAAGGACACCCTGAAGTAGTTGTGCCAGATTTCGTGAATGTAGCCTTACAGTACACTAGAATTACTTCATCTACTTATGTTTCCTGGCTGGTCTACCTGAGAGGCCTGACAAGTAGTGATACATTAGGAGTGCTAATCCTCACTCTCTTTATGGGATGTTGCTCGTGGCCAGGTTGCACAGTTGGCTTCTGTGAATTTGAAGTGGGAACAGGAGGGTCCCATGTTGCTGTTTCTCAGCAACGTTTCTGAGCTTGATCCTGAATTCTATTTGAACTGTTTCTTGCACTGGGTTGTTGGTTGTTTGATTCTGAATGCAGTCAGCGTAGAGATTCTCACACTAGTGTCCTGTGATGAAAGAACTTTTCTTGTTCTGCTGGAAATGAATATAAAATGAATGAGTGATGAGGGGCTCCTGTGAGCACAAAATTCTCACCCAGTAAGGAAGCTTCTTGCTACAATACTGCATACATTACTGCTGTCCTTCATTCATTGGAAGGAGGAACTTCTGCTTCGTTTTAGATTATCTGGATGCAGTTGGACTATGAATCATTCCTGGTGCATGAGCAGAACAAATCATCCATCTCAGATACTGCTCATTTTACTATCCTATGAATCATGGCTCAAAAATGGTTTCCTTTCAAATCAAGCAATTATCTTATGAAGCAATAAAATTAAATTAAACACGGTTAGGAAAGCAGGTGGAGAATTCTTTCCAACACCTTTAAAAGAAGCAGCCATAGGAAGCATCTGCATTTTTCTTGTTGTCGCTTGCCGCTTGCCTTGGTGTGTGTGTGTGTGTGTGTGTGTGTGTGTGTGTGTGTCTGTGCTTTCTCATTGTACTGTGTGTTTGCAAGTGTGCATTTGAAACAGGGAAAGCTGCATATACTCTGCTCTGGGTTACATGACTGGAAGAGAGGCCAAAAAATGTGTTTCTGTGGAAGAATCAAA